CATAACTTGAAGATCTCACTATTTTCATCTCTCTATTCTTGAATAGATATGCAGTGTATATTGCAAATAAAACAGGTGAGATTGGAGATTCTTGTGATACTCCTATTTTTATCTCAGTTTTATCTTGTTTTCTTCCATCAAAGAATAGTTGTATAATTCTTTTAGACATGAAACAATTGACCCATTTTATTAGAGAAAGTGGCAGTTTTAACATCTTCAAAGTTTGAATCATCTTAGACTTTGACACATGATCAAATGCACCTTTTATATCAATAAAAACTGCAGTTGAGACCAGGCCTTCATACTTTGCTACTTGAACATCATGAACAACTGAGAGAACAGTATCAATTGCAGAACATTGTTTTCTACCTCCCATTTGTTCATTAAATAGAAGAGAATCACTAATAGAGCTTATAAAAGATAATCTAGTAGCTATTATCTTTTCTAGAATTTTTCCCAAACAGTTCAACAGAGATATTACTCTATATGACTTAGGAATTGAAGCCTTTCTATTAGGTTTTGCAAGGATTACTCCAGTAGCTTCTCTCCAGCATTCAGAATGATAACCATTTTTTAAGAGATTGAAAAAGAGCTCAAAATATTCATTCTTCAAGTAGGAATATGTGTTTTGAATAATTGAGTGATTAATTGAATCAGGCCCTGCAGCAGTTTTAATTGAACTTGAGAATATTGCTGACTCTAGTTCATCATATGTAAGCTCAGGCCATTCCCAGTTATTCTCATCAATATATTCATGAAATGACATATTCTCCTCTTCTAAATGTGATGATGAGTTTTGAAAGAGAATTCTCATAAAAGCTTGACATTTTTCCTCAAAAGAATTTGCTGTATATAATTCATTCTGAAATTCATATTCTAAGGTTGGAAGCTTTGCTACACTTCTTGTTTTAGTATAGTTGAAGGCTTTGAAAACTTCTTTTCCTTGTGCTTCTTCAAGAAATTTGTTCCAGCAATCTGTTTTGGCTTTTTTAATATCTGAAAAATATTCATTTTGAATAGCTTTGAACTCTTCATCAGATATTAAGTGATTCTTCCAATCTCTCTTAGCAGTGGCTAATTGCTTTCTTTTAGAAGTGATATTCTCATTTCATCAAGGTTTGGAATACTCAGAAGACTTTTTCTTTGAAATATTTTCTCCAATACTTGTTAGAAGAATAGATGTAATCAGCTTTGCTCTATTCTCAAGCATTTCATTTGATATATCTTGACTTTGATTTCAATAGAGCTCACTCTGCCTTTCAGATTTCAGCTGTTTTACTCTTTCTTCAACTGCTTTCCAATCAGCTTTTTCAAAGTTATACTGATTAGAGAGAAGAGGATTTTCACTTCTTTGTTTTTCACTCAGTTCAATATCAAATTGAATGATCTCATGACCCGATCCTGAGGTTTCATTTGAATCAATAAACCAGTTTATAAGTCTTTTTTCAATTAGATTTTGTGACATGAAAGTTAGATCTATAATAGATTTCTGTTTCATGCCTTTTCTAAAGAATGTTTGTTGATCAGACTTGTTAACTAAATCTATTGAATGCTCAAAAGTCCATTCAACCAGTTTATCTGCTCTTACTGCTCTTGTGCACTCTGAGTTCCATCAGGGATGATGTGCATTGAAGTCTCCTGCAATTATAGAGTTTTTTAAGGGAGTTATATTCAAGAATCCTCTATCAATTGTCCAGGTATTGTTGTTTTCTTTCAATGATTTTTTGTTATAGATATTTATAAGTTGAATAGTATCAAACTCATTATCTTTATCTATAATGTCACCCACTAGAATGTCAGAGTCAGATATGATATCAAATCTCAGATTAAATTGATATCTTGATCTTTTTCTTCCATAGATTGCTACTCTTGATTTTATCTCAGATTTTTCAGGAAGAAAGCAGTAATAGCTTGGATGAGAAATGATGTACTTTTGCTCAGTATCAAAATTTGATTCTTGAAGAAGTACAAAGTCAACTTTTTATTCAAATGCAATCTGAAGACAAGAATAAATGCAATTTGAGTTTCTATCCACATTATTTTGAATAAATGTGATTTTTGAAGAGTTTTTAAACTTTTTTTGTTGTTTTTGTTGTACATTCATACTAAAAGAGAGTGAAGATATAGTAAAATCTAATCACTATCACCAGATAGTAGATTATAACTATTTTGAAAAGCAGGAATCTCAACTGCTTGCATTCTATCTAGTTTATTATCAGAGTCATTTCTCAATTCTCTAATCTTAACAGGTGTTTGAGGATTCAAATTCTGTTTACATTTAGCTGGAGAATTAGAGTTTGAAGACCTAGATAGTTGAGAGTTTCTTCTTTTTGAGCTTGCAGTTGTGGATTTACTAGCTTGACTTTTCTCTTCAGTTTTAGATTCACTTTGAGCTTCATCTTTTCTCCAGTTCTTCTGAGTTCTTGGAGTAAATACACATTCTTTTGAGCTAGATGCATGTTTTTCTTTGCAATTGGAGCACTTAAGCAGAGTATATTGACATATTTCACCTCTTTTTGAGCATGTTTCACATTTATGCTCACTAGTTTTGTGATCTCTAGCACAGAATGCGCATTTTGAGTCTCTGAAACAAGAGATTGCAAAGTGTCCATATCTTTGACAGTTTGAACACTGTGTTTGAGCTTTGAGATTCATTCTTGAATCTTTGTATTCATGAACTCTCATTTTCAAACCTGCTACTCTTACTTCAGAGATTCTTGATTGTTCAAGTGTCTTTGTATATACTAGAACAGAGACATTTCTTCTGCTCTGTCTGAACTTAATTGAATTAAGTCATACAGGCTCTTTTCTCAGTTGAATAGAATTGTATTCTTCTAATTCATTTTTGAGAAGCAGCATTCCTTCCTCACAGTCAAAAATTTCAACTGGAATATCATGAAGAATGAATTTGTCCCACTTTTCATCTCTTTCAGATAGAATTGTTGTATTCAGTAGAGATTCTATTGCTGATTTCCAGAGATTCTCATTCTGAATGAGGAATTCTGCACTGAATTCAGGCATTGTAGTCAAAATAATAGAGTTTCCAAAGAAAGATGGCTCAATTGAAGCTATGACTGGTTTTTGAACTTCAATATCAGTCATTAACTGAGAAAAGAACTGCTGGTTAATTTCATTTCTAATTCTGAAAATGAGATTTGAGTTTAGCTTGTTTTTTTGCAAGCTCTCCTGATTTGAGACTTTGAGAATAAGTCTTCTATTTCTGGAGATTTGAAAGTTCTTCTCTTTTTGCATTTCTTTTTTTTCCTTTCTATGAACAGAGGTCTGAGAAATATTCTTCTCAGTTTTCTCAGAATTTTGAGCAGATTTTGAACTAGCAGGTTTAGAGACAGCAGATTCTGCTACTTGAGCATATGTTTTCTTCTGATTTGAAGAAGAAGATGAAGAAGTAGAAGATGAAAAAGAGTCAGTGACTGTACTGGAAGATTTCAATGTTTTTTGAATTGTGTTTGAAATTCCAAGTTTGAACTTGATCACTTCTTGTAGTTGTCTAGCCTGAGTATGAAGAATTAACAGAACTTCTTCATTCTCCTCACTCAGACACTGTTTTCCAAGAATTTTGCTTGCTTTTTCCAGTTCCTGTATTTCGAGAACTTGTTGTTTCTCTATTTCTTCCTTCTTTCTTCTCTTTAGAATTTCAATCTCAGGAATGGCATCTGGGAAAACATCTTTTTCCACATCAACTGAGTGTACTCTTGAACTCATTTTACTCACTGAATGAAAAGTTGGTCAGACTGTTTCAATTGAGAGATTTATCAGTATATTTTCAAATGAAAAGTTGGTCAGACTGTTTCAGTTGAGAGATTTATTAGTCTTTTTTCAATTGAAAAGTTGGTCAGACTGTTTCAAAAGAAGAATGAAAGACTTTTGTGTATAAAACACCTGATTTTTTTCACACTAGTTCAGTAACTAGGTTAGATTTTTGAAGAGAATCTAATAAACTAAAAGTGATTTTTAAGATAAATCAATAAAATCTTTACAAACTCTTTCTTGGGATACAGTGAGGAAAAGTATGATATCAATTGATAATAAATCAGATGATATGACAGTTTTTGAGAGAAAAACTGACAAAAAATAAGTCAATTTTTTGCAGAGAAATTGATTAAAACTATTCAATTTTATTCTAAATTATTCAATTCTCCTCACACAACAAGTGTGCAACTCAAATCAGTCAATAAAAAGTGTAAAAGAGAATTAAGTATTAATGAAAGCTCTTCAGCCACTGAAAAAGTAATTCTTACTTAAAAGAATATGAAATTATGACAGAAAATAACTCTGTTTTTAATTCTTTGTAAGAATATTGTGTAAAACCCAGAGAAAAACACCTTACTTTTTCAAGAGAAGTAAAAAACTATTTCTAAGATCTTTTTTTTTTTTGCATTAACTGCTGCAGAAGAATGAGATAGAAACTGCTAAGATATGCACTACTGTATACTCTCTACCAAGACTTTCCCTCTTCAGAGTCTTGATATTATAGAGAATATAAGTCTGTTTCTATATGATAATGTAAATATTGCCAGCAGGATGTAGAGGAACTGGTTATTTATATCTCAAAATAGAAGACTTTGTCAATGATTATATCAATATAGAGTTAATTCTCAAATTCAATAGAAACCTAGTGTTGCTGTTCTCAATCCCTTGCAGAATCTATTGAATATTGAGGTATTAAAACTAGATTTAATATATCTCACTGTGCAGGGATCAAAGGCTCAGTCAGACCTTGAGGTATACTGATTTTATAGTTGTTGATGTGCTGTTGACTCGTTGTCCACTGGTTATGTATTGAATGCTGTTGCCGAGGTATCTTTTTGTATCGTTCTGCTGGGGATGGGCCAGATTGAGAGGGGTAGTACCAGGGTGAGACTTGGTGTTGAAGTCTAGATACACAGGCGACGGACCGTGGAGGTTGCACTTCAGAAGAGTCTGTTGATTATGTGCTTGATATTATCGCCGAGGTATCTTTTTGTATTTTTCTGCCGGGGATGGGCCAGATTGGGAAGGGCGGTACGAGGGTGAGACTTGGCGTTGGTGTTTTGGAACATCAAAGATGGACAGGGTTTTCGCGGAGGTCGCTCCTCGGATATCTCCACAACTACAGGTCGGGGATCTTCCAAAATCGAGAAGATTGGTGCATATGGCTAGGTCACTTCACCTTACAATTTGTATGGCACTCTGGCCCGGGGTTGTGGTGTGGTAGCGGTGAACGGGGGATAATCCCACACAGGAGCTTCGAACAACGTCCGGTTCACGTTTGGCTGGATAACTCCACCACCACACAGGGTATGCGGTCGGCGATGGGGTCAGAATGCTCGTATGATCGAGGGCTTTTCGATGGATCTATCGGCGGGTTCTTATTCGAAGATCTATCTAGAGAATAAGTTAAGAGACTCTGCAAGCTGAACAGAGAACATCTGAGCTGTAATTATCAATATTAGAAAAAGAGATGAGAAATCTGATGAAGACTACTTACAGTGCTTCATGAAATTGTGATATGAATTGAGATCTGTGAAAACAGAGCCCTGAAATAAGATCTGAATAATGATATTTATAAAGAGACTGAATAAAGACATGCAGAACAAGCTCATTGAGTAAGACTCTGAGTTCTTAACTCTGAAGAAACTGATGACTCTCATTCATCACTTACAGATCACTGTGAGAGTCACAGACTTATAGAGAGTGAATCATCAATCAGCTCTGTGAGAGCCAGAATAACAGAGAACAGATTTGTTAGAAAAAGATGATAAGATACAGAGAGATTTATATCTGACTACTGAGTAGAGAGAGAGAGTCTCATAAGCTTCTGTGAACAGAGTGTATAACAGAGAGACTAAGAAAAAGAGACTCTACTTTATCTGTTTTAAATCAGAACATCTTCATACAAACTGTCTGAACAAATTAAAATAGAAATTTAAGAAGTCACAGACAGAGTCAGTAACAGTCTTCTTAAGAGTTTTAAAGCTGACACCTGAATCTGTTACTCTCTCAATGAAAATACTTGCTTACAGAGAGAGACTGTATCACAGTGCTGCTGTCTTATAAGTATGAAAAGCATTGATGAACTCAGAATCCCAGGTCACTGTAATGTCTCTAAAGCTCACAGAGTGAATAAGCTGAAAGATGAAGACTGAGAACCTGCTCTTATAATAAGCAGAATGTGAGAACTCAGATCTGAGAGCTGAGAGACTCATAAGAGTCATCTTTGAATTGCAAGATCTCTCTGAAATCTGAAGAAGATTTACAGAAACTGTGATTATCACAGACATTGCAGATAACATGTACTTAGAACTTGTATAACTTTAAAGACACAATTCACACATAGCTGTTCATGAGTCAGGTTTATACTTTCAATCAGTGTTGACAGACTCACTCACAGAGATAGAATCAGTTAATACTGCAGAGTTAATTAGAGAAGACAAGCTCATCTATATAATAGCTTTGCAAGTGTCTGAGAATCTTGCAGTCATGAAAACTGAGCTTCAGATATCAGAGAAATACTGAGATCTTACAGAGATGTTCAGCTCAGCAAAGACAGCTGAGCTTCTTTCTCACTGTAAGAAGAATCTGATAATAGATTTGATAGAAGAATAGAAACTCTTCTGAGAACTAATCTATAAGCTCTCTCATTATGAGACAGAGGTCTTACAGATCTATATGAAGAAGAATCTGAAGAATGACTTTATTCAATCTTCACAGATCTTCACAGAAGTCTCTGTGATATTCATGAAGAAGAAGAATAAAGATCTCAGATTATATATAGATTATTATAATCTGAACTTTAAGATAACAAAGAGCTGCTATTTCCTGTCTCTGATCAAGAATGTGATCAACTGTCTCATGAGAGCTGTTATATTCACACAACTGAATATGATCAATGTATATGCATAGCTGTGAATACAGTCTGAGAATGAATGAAAGACTGTCTTTAGAACTGTACTGAAATTGTTTGAATATCTAGTGATGTCTTTTGATCTGACTAATGTCTCTGTGATATTCCAGTCTTTTATTAATAAAACACTTCATGCATATCTGAATATCTTCATAATAATATATCTAAATAATGTGATGATGTACTTTATGAAGAAGGAAGAACACACTGAGCATGTGCAAAGTGTGTTAAAGGCCTTAGATGAGACAGAACTGTATGTTAAGCTTATAAAGTGCAACTTCAGTGTCTGCTGAATTAATGTTCTAGAATATATAATCACTGCAGATGATATTCAGATGAAATCTTTGCAGATTGAGACTATTCTATTATAACTAAAGTTAACTAGTATTTATGAGATTCAGATCTTTCTGAGCTTTGTGAATTTCTATAGATGATTTATCTTTGCATTCATAAGAATCTTCTTAGCTCTTACAGACATGCTGAAGAGTGAAAATAAGAAGAAGTCATCTTATAAATGAAGAATGAAAAGATTGTTGAGAAGAGAGAACTATAAGAACTTTCTTATCTCAGAAGCTTATGAGGCTTTTACAAGATTGAAACAGACATTCACAGATGCAGTGATGCTGTTCTACTTTAATTTCTTACTCTTAATCAGATTGAAGATAGATGTCTTCTTCTTTGCAATTTCAGAAATAGTCTTATAACTACAGTTAAATGAGAACTGAGTTTCAGTAGCCTTTTTCTTACAGAAGATGCAATCTGCAGAGATTAACTATAATATTTATGATCAGAAGCTTCTTATAATAGTGAAATTCTTCTGTTACTGATATCACTACTTCAAGAGCCTTGTAACAGTGATTACTGTTAGAACTAATCATGACAGCTTATAACAGTTTACTTCAATCAAGAAACTCTTACAGCAGCAGGTTCACTGAGCTCAGAGACTGAGTGAGTTCTGATTCAAAATAGAATATATTAAGAAAACTAAGAACTCAGCAGACAAACCCTCTTACAGATCAGACTATGTTAAGAAGACCAGAATAACAGATACAGAGAGACTAGAGAAGGCAGAAAAGCTTCACAGAATACTCAGACTGAGTGTTATAAAGAGATTGACTGAAGAGTTTTTCAATTCTCTGTGAGAGAAGGGAAAGAAGAGAGAGAAGAAGTCTGTACAACTACTCTCTATAATACTGAGAGTCAACACTCTGAGAATCTCTGTGAGAATTCTTGAAGAGAGTATCTATAATCTGAAGAGTTTACAGACTTTGAGAAGTACTGTGAAAGACCTGATATAAGAGAAAACAGAGTATAAGTCTTCACAAGATCTTCTATTCAGATTGTCTGAACTGTAACTGAAGAATGAATATACTCAGTATATTCAGAAACTGCTCACAGCAGGAATCAACTCTGCAGAAATAAAGAATTGAAGAGACTTAAATAATCTCTTGTGAAGAGAGAGCTGAATTTATATACTTATAAATGAGTTTCTATGTGTAGAACTTATTAAAAGATATTATAACTCTTCTCTAGTAGATTATTTTACAGACACTAGAACTCATGAGTTGCTTATAAGAAAATACTTCTGACTGAAGATGCAAGGACTTGTGAAGAAGATAGTGAATTCTTATACTATTTGTCAGAATTCATAAGTAGTGCAGTTCAGACTATATGAAGAACTTACTTCTCTATTCATTCTGCAGAAACCTTGAAAACAGCTAGAAATGAATACTCTTATGAACCTCTCTGAAAGCAAGAACATATATAATACCTGCTTTGACAGTGTGCTGGTGATAGTGAATTACTTCATTAAGATGACACACTTTATACTCACCTGCAAGGACTTGAAGTCAAAGAATTTGACTCATATCTTCATTCATGATGTGATTCAGTTGCATGAATTGCCTGCAAACATTGTCTCAGATAGAGAATCAATCTTCACAGAAGAGTTCTGATCTAATCTGATAACTATACTGAAGATCTTATAAGATCTAAGTACAGCTTTTCATCAATAGACAGATAATCAGACAGAATATCTGATAAGTATATTAAAACAGTATCTGTGATGCTTTGTCAATTATAATTAGAATAACTGAGTGTATTGATTATCACTTATGAAGTTCATATACAACAACTCAAAGCATGTTAGCACAGATAAAACTCTCTTTGAGATGCTCACTGAGACTCATCTGTGAATAATCTTGATGAACTCACAAGAGTACACTATAAAGTGTAGTAATGCCTGTGAACAGGCTGAGAGAATTCAGAAGATTCAGAAGAAAGTCTGTGAATTCTTGAAAAAGACTCAAGAGTATCAGAAGAGATACTATGACTTCAAGCATATTATAAAGAGTTTCAAGAAAGATAATAGAGTCTGACTGAGTCTAGAAAACATTATTATATGAAGATCTAGTAAGAAGCTGAATCTCTTACAGACAGAGTCTTGTAAGATTATGAAGAAAGTTAGCTTACAGTTCTACAGATTGAAACTGTCATCTAAGTTGCAGATATACAATGTTTTTCATGTCTCTTTACTCTGTGAATATAAGGAATTCTTAGAAGAGAATTCTGTGACTCATCACTCTGTCTGTAAAGCACTAGAGAGTGAAAGAGAATACTAGATTAAAGAAATTATTAACTCAGAGAAGTGAGATTACAAGCTCTGATTCAAGGTTCAGTGATAAGAGTATTCTGACAAGATGAATAAGTTCACTTAGAAATTATTCAGGCAGATAAGACATCTGCAGAAGCTGAGACATAACTTTCATGTTATAAATTCTGATAAGTCAGAATGATGCAGTCTTCACTAAGAATCTGATTGTGACAAAGACATTAACACTGTCATTTGTGAACTCTAGTCTATAAGATGATGAGTTTCTACTGAGATGAACAGTCTGCAGTGTATATAAGAAAAGAAGAAATCATGTTCTCATTAAAGCTAAAAAAAAAAAAAAAAAAAAAAAAAAAAACAAGAAAATAAACAGAGCTGTGAACACAATTTAAAGATTAATAAAGAAAAAACAAAGAAAACTCAAACTCACATTCTTAATATCTGTGACACTCAATTCTCTCATAACTATCAATTTCCTTCTTCAAAGAAGCAGGGAGTATCATACTCATGATACAGACAATTGTTACATTTGATACAAAGACTGTCAGAAATGCACAGACTTCAGAGAAGCTGAACATCAGAGTGCACACAGTTATAGCAGAACCTTGAAGACTGACTGTCTGTGTATATGACTAGATATCTCTTATAAAGCTATGTCTGCTTCTTCAGTTGTACTGAAGTATTCAGTCTGAAAATAATTGAGATGCAGAGAGAGAACTTATCTGTTCAGATCAACTCTTATCACAAATTCATAATATTCACATTGTCTTGATTATCTGAATTTTACAGGTACCTGAGAACTCATCTCTCATTGACAATGAGATTGTGAAAATGTGCTGTGATGTGAGGATCATTAATAGAGAACCTAGGCATATTTGCAT